TAGATGCCTGCCGAAACCTTCTCAAAATAATTTCGTCATACCCTTTTCTATGTTTTTAATATAGTTTCGACAGTTTCGGCTTTCATCGTATCGAATAGGTTTTGTCGTATTCCTTATTATGATTTTAATATATTTTCGTCTAAGTTTTGGCTGTTATTAAGGGGTTTTGTCCCTCATCTATATGTCGCATACAAAATGCTAACCTTGGTTATAATCTATCAGCTGAATAGCGCCTACATATTGGTAATACTTCGACATCTACAGTTTCAACACAAATCTCCATACTTGCCTATATAGATGATACCCTATAGATCAGTAAATCTAAGGATGATCTTGAATCGATCTTAACAATAGCTGATGACTTTTATCAACTTAATAGTATTCTCATTAATTAGGATAAATCTGTATTACTTTCTTCAGTACCGATAACATCACCTATACACTTAGACTAACACACAATGAAGAATGGATTAAACCAATGGATCTTAAATCATCTACCTGCTATCTCGGTATTTGGATCTCGCTTCTCCTAAATTGCCAGTTTATAAGACAACAAGTGAAAAATGAAATTCAAAACGCTACTTTGACAATAAAAAAGAAATTCCTCACAGATAAATAACTCAAAGTAATCTTTAATTCAGTCCTCTTGCTAAAAATTCTATATCACATTCAATTAACTTTTCTTGATTACAAATTCTGTGATCAGATTATGGGGTCATATCGAAAAGTTTTTAGGTCAAATCTACACTTGTCTAAAAGTACCCCAGCAATTATCATTCATTCGTCACTACTTTACAACATCACACACTTATACACAGCACAGATTCAAGCAAAAATTTCCAATTTTATCAAATCTATTAATGACAAAGGATTATTAGACACTACATCTTTAATCCGCTCTAGATTACTTCAAAATAATAAATGGCTTCTTAAATCACCCCTAACATTCTGGCCTTATAATGATTCCTTCAAATTTAAAGACTGGTGGTCTGCTCTGCTTTCTGCATTAAAGTCACTTAACATCACCATCTCCAATAGCAATACTGAGGCTAATTGTATAAAAGGAGGACAATTTCCCTTAAGTGAAATTTTCATAAAAAAAGATTACCGCACATTTGCTCCAATTTTAAAAAGTAAATAACTAATGTTTCTTGATCAGATTACAACATCAGATGGCGCAGCACTCTTCACATTATCTGATCTCAAATTTTCTGGCAATTCCCAAAGCTTCAGCCTGATTTCTCAAATTATAATCATTACTTATATCATCACCTAATACAAGAATCATTCCTTCAAAGTATCATCGTCTACATACCAATAATATATACTCAATTCCTCCAACCCATATTAAAAGTACTACACATTTTGCTGTGGGTTGACACTCAATCTCCAATTCTGCTATAGTTAGAAAAGTGCTCAGAATTGATAATGATATAGTTTACTTACAACATTTCTTTGCCTCACCAGACCATACCTTCAAAACTTCACTAATACCATACAATAAATGCTCTCTTAATGATGATTCTTCCTTTATCCCTTCTAATATGAGAAATAAACAAGAAGCCTACTTTGTGATGTTACCCTTGAACTTATGTGCTGACATCAAGGCTTTCCTTCTTCCAAATGTTGGTCATATCTGTTCTTTGTCCCCTTATATATTTTATGAAATTGCTTTATATAGTTACAATTTAACTGAGAATAGTACATTTAATATCCCCCCATTTTGTCTTCTCTATCCCTAACACCCATGCAAATTTTCAATATAGAAATCCTCAATAGTTTAGACAACTTTAAAACTCATTTCATACAATCAATCAACCTCTTATTTTATACTGATGGTTCCCTTATCAATTTAGGTACTTCTTTAATCTGTATGGGCATGGCCTGGTTGCAATCTAATCCTTCAGCACTTCTACTTTTCTTTAATGCTTCTCTTATCCTTTTCTAACCTTCATCTTCTTTAGCAGAACTAGTAGCTGTACTATCTGCCATATATGTAGCGTTCACAAATGCTACAGTTGATATTTTCACAGACTCACAAAATATAATTTTATCTTTTGATAAAATAAACTACTTATATATCTTCTCCCTACCTTTAACCCCATTTTTAAAATCTTCTTTTATCCAATTTAGTTCCTTGACATAAAGTTAATTAAGGAAAAGTCCATTTCTATTGAATTTCACAAAGTCAAAGCTCACTCAGATGATCATTACAATAATATTGTTGATGCATTAGCAAAATCTGATGGTCTCCAACTCACTATAAATAACAAATTTCTAGGACACCATTATAATCTCTATTTTAACAAAGATATTGTACTTATACCACCTAGATTGCTCATGAAAGACCTTCTCAGATCAATCAATTTTCATAATATACAACTACTTTCTCACTTTAAAAAGTACAGTACAATGGATGTGGATTAGATTCAAACCTTTTTCATTCTTAACGATAATGAAAACAACTCTTATACATCCTTCAAAGCCTCTTCCACTCGCAAATTTAAAACTAAGCTTATGCTTGAATTGCTCCCTACCCTTGAAATTCTCAAAATAAGACACCCAAATCTATATGACCAATCATGAAATTGTCCTAGATGTTCGTGTACTAATGAAACCTTTAATCACGTTTGGACTTGTGCCAAAATTGAGCACCATGTCATTGACATTATATTCTCAACCAAAAGTTTCTTCATACAACATCTCATCGCCTTGACTTCAGACACTCAAAATCTTATGGATCTCTTAGATTTGACTATCTGATCCTTAAATGATTGACCTGACTCTTTTAACTTTATTGACTTGATCAAAAGAATCGTATCCCTTTCCTTATTCAACAAAATACACTGCCCTGTTAATAACCTCCAATTAACAAACAGTCTCTTATCTTCTACTTATCATCATGCATTTTCCCAAATAAAATCTATTTGAATTGATCGTTGCAATGATATCAAAAATTTTGAAAACCTCAACAACATCTCACTCAATGATCGAAAATTGCATTTCACCAATACCGGCTTTCCCTCATCATCATCACATAATTTTAGCATTTCCCCTTACTTTATTTCCTCCTTTAGATTTAGTATAAACTGGTTGAATTTTTAGATCAGTAGCAACCACGCCTCCTGTACTGGATGGTTGATCCTATTCTAAATTTATTTGGGTAGGTTAGTCTGGAACAGTGCAAGGTTGATTTTAATTTGGCTTTATTATTAAATAGAAATTTTTGTACTCTCTATCTTATAATTTGTAATGTTGTAATACTTTACTTTACTCTTAAATAAAGTTTGTGCAAAGCTACCGCATGTGAAAAAAAAAAAAAAAAAAAATATAAATTCTATAATATTTTTAATATAAATAAAACTTCAGTTTAATCTAATATAATTGGATATATTATTATCAATTAAAAAGGATAAAATATTATTTATATTTATGATACAGGTAATGAAAATAATTGATTTATTATTGTTTTAATATGTGTAATAGATAAAAATCTTTGATTTATTTAATATAAAAAAAAAATCTAATTTGTTTAATTATAAAAAAAAAGTTTTTAAAATCTTTATTAAATTATTACAGATAAAATTAGATTATCACCAATTTGTATTTTTAAAGAAATGCAAATATTACATTATGAAAATTTCTTTTAATATGATTATAGTTTCAAAAAAGTAGATGAATAAATGCTGATTTGATAAAGTATTATATTAATTACTTTAATCAGATAAAAATATCAAATAATCAATTCTGATTTTAACTATAATAGTATAAGATTTTTTTAGAAAATATCTAAAAGAATCAATTAAATAAAAATTTAAAAATAATTATATTAATTAACTATTTAATATTATAATTAATAAACCTTTTAAAGATAATCTTTATAGAGAATAGTTGGATGACTAATGGTGATGCTAAATATATTATTGCTGAAAATTTTAAATAATGTGATATATATAGATAGGTTAAACGGTTATGGGAAAATCTTTTTGAAAATATTATTTATTTTTTAAAAAGTGTGGTATATCAAATGCTTAAGATAAAACAAATGATGATGAAATTTATAAAGAAATTGATGAAATGGATAAGAATATAAAGAAGAAATAGAAATTATTAATTTGAATTAGAATTTAAATTCTTTTATTTGTAAATGTATTTTTTTATTAATGTAATTTTTTGATTTTTCCAATAATATAATAAAATTAAAAAGTTAGTTGAAGGGGTACCTATTTTCAGTTTATATTTGAAATCGTGTAAAGTAAGGGAGGTGTTTAATTTCGAAAGGTGATTAATATTAGAATAATATGGTAATATCAAAATAATTTAGATTATTTTAAAAGCAATAATAAATTGGTATAATAAGAAATGCAATAATATTTTATTATTTAAATTTATTATTATTTTAAAGCATTTATTATTTAAGATATATTACTTTATCCTTTATCCACTCCTTAATATTGTTTTAATCCCTTAAATCAATCGATTCTTTAATAGGAATTATTATGAAATAAACAATTTAATTAAAAAAAGAACATTCCAGATTATAAATATTAAATATTTTGAAATATTATCAACATAAAGCTACGACACACTTCCTCAATGTTTTAATAAATTTTCTTGAGCCTATAAAAAAGAAATTTTTAAATTTTTTTTTTTTAAAAAAAAAATAAAATAAATATAAGAATTCCTTACTTCTGTTAACGATTTATGTGATATTGTTGGCAAACGTGAATTATTTTGAGGAATTATTTCATATCTAATTGGAAGATCCTAGAAAAAAATAGTTTCCTTAGACAATTTTAATAATTATAATACAAAAAAAAAAAAAAAATACCTGAATAGGGGGACACAGATCTATGGGTATATATCTTCCGTGATCTTGGAAGAATAAATCTCTCTGTTGTTCCTCCTCTAAATAAAAGCAATTTTTTAAAAGTTAATTATAAATATAAACGCAACAAAAAGTTAACTAAATTATAAATAGTAAATACCAGTATACAATCCATCCAATTTTATTAAAAATTCTTCAGCAATTCTTTCATGTTGTTCTTTGACCCTATTTCTTCTATCAATCTCTATAATCATAGAATCATATGATCTAGAGAATTCTTCGTACCTAGTTTTTTTTTTTAAAAAAAAATACATATACATGTTATCTTATCATATCATTCTAGTTAATATTAAAATAAAAGAATTACCATAAATTTAAATTGCGTAATTCTTCCAAGTAACGATCTACAGTAGCAGAACTTTTCTCAAAATCAAGTTCAAGTACTTTCATCGTGCTTGCAAAATTTTCCATCAATGCCCCAAAATTTTCCAATTCCATAAACAGTTTGATGGCCTCATCATAAGATACTTGATAAATTTGATTTCGAATACGAACCTCCTCACTAAATAATTCAAAAGTTTAGATTTTTTTTAAAAAAAAAAAATCAAAAAACTTTTTGCATTCACCTTGTAGATTCAATTTTTTGAAGACTTTCTTGTAGTTCCTCAATTATTGTTGGTATTAAATCGGTATCTCCCTGTAAAACTAATGAATGAATAATAATCATCAGTTTTAAGTTACATATCTTAGAAATAAACAATTACAATATAATTATATAAATTTATTTATTCTACCAGAAATATCTAACTTATATCCAACTTCAGCATTCGACCGACATGCTCTATAAATAATAATAAATTTCTTAAATTTTATTAAAAAAAAAAAAATAATAATAAAGTAAAAAAAATGGATTTCATAAAGTAGTAACCTACTTTAAAGCAGCCGCTACTTGACCATAATGTCTCGTTAACGAAACTAAAGTATCTGCCATAGAGTGAGTTTCTTGATCTAATACGTTACATTTACCACGAGCAAATTCTGAAACAGATTCTTCAAAAGAGATAGTATGATTCTCAAGCATTTCACTAAATTGTAAATGATGATTTTTTATTTGTTCAATCAATGTTGAACTATTATTATGATAGTGCTATATAAATTAATTTGTTAAAAAGTATTTTTTGAAAAAGAAACATCCAAAATTCGTCAAGTGAAATATTTATATTTACCAAGACAGCTGAAATTTCTTCTTGAGTCTTATCTTTTAATTCTTGTATACTATGTTCTTCAACATAATCATATAAAGTAGCCTTTTCCTCGATTTTATTCTCTTCCTTTTCAATAAAATCGAATTCAAGTCCTTTTTCCCCTCCGCATAAATCACCTATTCCTGGTGGCGTATTTTCTCGTGTTGATTTTTCCAATGCAATCGCATTCTCTCTGATCGATGAATCAACTTGCTTACTACGTAAATTTTGTAATGTACTATCCAATTCGTTACTTAAAATTGTTAATTCTTGTTCCTTATTCTGTATGTAGCCCATGATTTATTGTTGTTTTTATTATTATTAATTATTTTTTTTTTTAAAAAAAAAAAAGTCGTTAGAAATTAAATCGATAAAAAATTTTAAGAAAAAAAAAAAAATAAAATAAAAATAAAAAAAATAAAGCATTTTTTTACTTACCGAGTAAAATATTTGTAAAATTCCATTTTGATTTTCTGCAAAACTTTTCAATTTTTCAACTGACTTCATACGTTAAACAGAGTAATTAAAATTAGTGATTAATGATTTTAAATCAAAAAATCAAAAAAAAAAAAAAGGTTTTTTTATAAGAAATACCTGAATTTGAACTTCTAATTCCCCCCAAAGAAATTTCAACTTTGGACAAACTTTTTCAATATTTTTAACGTCAACTTTACATTCTTTCACCAAATTATCAGCTTTAGAACATAAATTTTCTCCTAATTGTAAAGCTTTTTTTGATAATGATGTTAATCCTATTAATTTTTGTTCCATTGTATTTTTTAGTTCAAAATGTAATTTAGTAATATAATATATGATTATAAAAATAATTAAAAAAAAACTGTCGTTTATTATATAATTTATTTTTTAATTTAATGCCAAACAAGAGCACTTTATATACTTTATTTAACTTTGCGATCGCCGGGTGTACAATAATCCTTTATTTGATTATGATAACCGTGTCAATCAATTTACAAAAAAAAGCAAAAAAAAAAAAAATTCCTAGCAATGATGTCAAAGTATTCCTAATTTAAATTTTGTTAGAAAAATTTTCCATTCCGCCTCGTTCCTCCTTTAATCTATTTAATATGAACCTCAATCTTTTAATTTCCTCCAATTTCTCTTCATATTCTTTCTTCAATCTATCATTTTCCTCCTGCAATGCGATTAATAAATTTTTTGCTTTTTCTCGAGATTTTTGTGCAGCGACCTTATTCTGGCGCTTTTTTTTCTCTTGTTTAGATTCATATATTGTAGAATTATCATCATAATTATTTGATTCTTGATTATTGTGTACGCCAATTGTAAAAATTGATTGACAAGGAGGAGAATCAAATGGTAGATCAAGAAAATTTGGTTGAGAGATTGACAAAGAATCAGAAGAGTCCAAGAGATTTATGTGGTGTGAACTAGAAGGAATTGCATATTCAGAAATTTGATCACTAAATTGTTGTGTATTAAGGAAATAATGCAAGTTTTGTTGTGTATTAAGATTATTTGGTGACGCTAAAATTGAATCCGTAGCAAGTGTAGGATAGGAATCAAATGGTAATTGTACAGCAGAAGAGGCATCGAAAGAAGGATAGGAATCTGTCAACTGATAGCCCAGACAAATATCATCTACAAAACAAAAAATATTGACTTTCAGTTTAATCACAATAGAATAAAAAATTTCTTATAGAATTTTACCTGTTGAAAGTTCCAATGGAAAATCCGAAATGATTTCATTTGAATAAATTTGCTGATATATCTTTTGATTTTCTTGAAGAGAAGATTCAATAGCTGTTGAAATATCTGGTTCGATTATAACGTCGTTGAAGTTTTCGGAGGAAGTCCAAAACATTTTATCCTTGCTTTCCATGATAAAAAAAAAAAGTTATTACAGTAAATAACAAGAGAAAGAGAAAAAAAAAAAAAGAAAAGAAAACTTTATATATATTCAATAAAATAATAATATTATTTTTTTTTTTTATAATGATGTGACATTGATTACTTGAAAAGAGTATATATATAACGATATACTTACATAATTATAAAAATTCAATTTGAGATAGAACCGACAATCATGTCACCATGTTAAAAGAGTTAGAGAAATAATTTGTCGTCATAATGGTATAGAAACTTTTCTTTCCCATTAGGGCGAATAAAAGTATTTTTCGAGTTGTTTGTTAAGTTATGGGAATACAAAAGTATGCAAATTTGACCTTTTTTTAAGGAACAACTTTGAGATAAATCTCAATTTTATTTCCCGATCCGTGGAATTATCGCTAATAAAAAAGTTTATTCGATTCAAACAAACAAATTAGAAGCAATCAAATCATAATAGTAAGTGCCCAAAAACAATGAGAATTTTCGCTCATTTTCATTCTGTTATTTGCTACATTCTTTAATTTCATTATCTAATTTTATGATGAAACAGCATCCTAGTTGATTCAGAATCATGCGATCATAAATAATGCAACAAAAAAATAAATTTCATATTTCTTTTACGGTGATAAATAAATAATTTTCTAATTTAAATATGGATTAATAAGTAAATTATTTCATAGATTATATATAATTATTCGGGTAATACTGTTGCATTATTTTTTTCGTTTTTAACACAACTCGAATAACAAACATCCGAAATTAATACATTAGAACATCCTTTTTTTAAAAATATATTTTGAATTTGATACAATTACCACCTCGTATATCCTTCCCGAGCCTTGATGACATCATGAATCCTTTCTGGCATAGACCGAATTAGGTTAGTACAAGTTTCAACATCAAATTTTTTCCAGACCTGCTGTACCTTATTCCATAAGTCCTCTTTACTTGAAATTTGTCTAGGAAGGTGTCTAAGCTGACGGTCAACCTCGTTCTATAGATATTCAATGGGTTCAGATTCGGGGATTGGGTGGCCAATCTAGTACCGTCAACTTGTTTCTCTTAAGCCACTGTTTTGTTGAATTTGTCATATGTTTTAGATATCCATTATGTTGAAAAATAATGTCTTTAACAGTAAAACCATGTATTGTGATGGTGCTGATTAAATCCTCATGAAGAATTTGTTGATATAATTCAGCATTTTTTATGGCATCAATCTTACAATAACCATTAACATTACGAGATGTAAAACATTCCCATATTATAACTGACCTGCCTTTAAATTTTACTGTAAGTTTAATATGGTGGTCTTTTATTGATTCTTTAGGATGCTTCTAGTAATACTGCTTCTCATAGAACTAAAAACTTGAATTTGATTCATCAGACCATATTACTTTTGACCAGTCTTTAATAATTCAATTTTCATACTTTTTTGCAAAATTATATCAATATTTATTATGTTTTTTACTAAGGCATAGTTGGCATTTGGCTGTGACCAAGCCTAATTTTTTGGCCATTAGCTGATTTGGCTAATCAGCCAAAATTAGCAGCCAAATTACCAATCGGTCAAATTGGCTAAATGTCACATAACTTTGTCAATTTTGGCCACAGTTTATTTGCAAATTGCAATTTATTGAATTTACTGCAAAATTGCAAAAATAGTTGATGTCTCCAATGTTTAAGACATTCAAATTTCTTATAAAATAGCAAAAAATTGAAGCTTCTAACATTCAGGATGTTCAAAATTGCAAAAATTGATACCTCTGACATTTGGGATGTTAAAATTCTTGCAAAATAGAATGTTCTGAATGTCAGAAGCATTAACTTTTACAATTTTTAATGTTCCTAACATCAGAGGTGTCAATTTTTTTTTGCAATTAACCAATTATATTTCTGTTTCATTTGTGAGCTATTGTATAAAAAAAATTTTTTAGCTGGTTAAACTTAAAATAAAATTTGGTCAAATGACCAAATGATCATAGTCAAATACTGACTAAACAGCTAAATACTAAAGTATAGCATTTTTCTTTTAAATCTTACTATTAACCTATTATTTTGAAGTATGTAATGAATAGTAAGTATTAAAAAGTTAATATTATCTTTTCTTATAGTTAATATCGTATTTTAATAGCTGATAAACAAATAATAAAGTTAATAATCTTTCTTTATATTAGTTTATTTATAGTAGGTAAATGATCTGTTCTTGCTAAGTTTTTAAGAGAGTAGTTTTCAAACCATCTTTTTCTAATACAGAAACTGTAAAAAATATAAGCCTTTTGATACTTCTCTTATCATGTATTCATTTTATAATTTTGTATCTAAATTATATAAAAATATTAAAGTCTGTAATCAAATTTACTTTAATTATGAACCAGTTTCAATTTAATTTGAAAATTAAATTAAACTGAAATTAAATTAAATTAAACTGATTTTTAGATTAGTTTAGATGATCAATTTATATAAATACTATATTGTGTAAATTATAAGATGTATTAATCATTTTAATTAGAATTATTTTTATTTTGCATTATTATTTATATTGTAAAAATAATAATAAATTATAAATGCATTTTATTTGTTAAAATTTATTCACCTAGCAATTCTATCCTTTAAAATATTTAAATAAAAAACATTTATTTTATTATTAAAAAACTAAAAATTTTAAAATTTAATACTATTACAAATTCATAATTAATTTTATTGTAACTAATTTATAATCTTTTTCTATTATTAAAGTATTAGATTTGAATTGTTAATTAATAAGTTGAATTCTAATTTAATTTATGTAAACAAACTTTAAAAGAAAATTTGTAAAAAATTATAATATAAAAAGAAATGAAATTTCACAAATTAATTCAAAAATATTTCTTATAAAAAATATTTTAAATAATAATTTATATATTAATAATAATTGAAAATTAAAGAAACTTTTATTTAATATAATTTCTATAAATAGTTCTCATAAAGCTGAATTAATTATAAGCAAATTTTCACAATTTTTTGAAAAATTCAATATTAGTCAAAATATTTTTGCTATAATAACAGATAATGAAAGTAATATAATAATATATATTAATTAATTAGCAGTTGTATTAGATTAAGCATTTAATGATAAATCTTTTATTCACTTTTGATGTATTATTTACATTACAATTTAGTAATAAAAGTTAGAATGAAACATGTAAAAGATAAAATTAAAAAACATTGCTAATTTGTTATTAAAATAAAAAATTTACTATTATTATATTAGATAAATTATTATGAATTTGTACTATTAGAAAAATTAGATTTTTAAAGCTAATTTTAGATATAAATATCTATTAGAATTCTATATATTTGATGATTGCTAAATAAATTTAAATGCAATATGTTTCTAATTTACTTGTAATAATAAATTTTAAAGATCTTGATATTTATTATATAATAATTATTTTATATTTATTTATTTTATTTTATTTTTAATTATTATTAATTTTTAGAAATTATCATTAATTTTAAAACCTATATATGAAGCAAACACAGTTATTATTATTATCATTAAATCTTATATAAAGTGATATAAAAAAATATTAGGATGATCATTTAAATTATACTTTTACAATTTTTTCAATATTAGATTTGTATTATAATTTATATTATTTGATAGTAATGACTTAGTTAAAATTATTAAAAAAAGGTATTATTTTAGAATTATTTTTTTAATTTGCTTAATTTAAATAATTATTAATGAATAATATATGATGAATTAGATAAATATCTAAAGATAGTAATATTAGTCCTTTAATTTGATTTTATATAGCTAAGAATTATATAAATAATTTAAACAATATCAATTTTATTAGAAAGAATCTTTTCAATTTTAGGTTTAACTATCTTAAAGTTAAAAACAGGTTAAATTTTAAAAT